CCTGAGTATTTCGTAATTCTTTTTTTCTTTTTAAAAAAAAAAAAAAAACCCTCCTGTAGAAGGACTAATCATTTAGTTATTCGCTTCATCATAAAAAATTAATTCACCCATACCCTTCATTTTCTGAAACAGTTGGAAACTATCCATTAGAAAGCAATTTCAGTAGAACATGTAACATCTACCAAAACTCCATTGATGCTTGGTAGAACCCTAAACTTAATTGAGTTGAAACTTCATAAATCAGGCCCATTGGACTTGTGTATGGATAACACAAACAAAAGGCCATTACATTGTCAACCTGATTTAACTACTTTGGGAAAAATGAAGAGTAAACTTCAGAAAGAAGATGTAGAAAGTTGGAAAAACAAAATAAAAAAGAAATGACAAACCTTCCTTTCAAGAGTTGAGACTCTCTGATGGTATTCCTCTCGCAATGACTCAATTTCCGCATCACTGGACTTTTTCTGTTCCATTAATGACGAACGTGAGTAATTAAACATATATTTCATCTTCTCTCTACAGCAGGGGTGGGGGGGGGAGGGAAGACTAGTTTTCTTTGTGTAAAACACGTTTAACTTTTGTTTTGTACAGTATACAGTGGCTAATTAAATGATGAGATGCCAACAAGTTAACAAAAAGAATATTCTCAAATGAGGACAAAAATGTCAGATAAATAAGCCCAACCAACGTTTTATAATGGAATTCAAATGACTTTGTTTAAGTGTGCAACTTGAAATGGTAGACCCAACATAATTAGATAATCAAAAAAACAAAAAAACAAAAAAAAAACAAAAAAAAAAAAAAAGAAAAAGAAAAAGAAAAAGAAAAAGAAAAAGAAGATGAAGAAGAAAACAGAAAAAGGGAAAAGATCTGTAATAGGCCTCCAGAATAATAGACATTAAGTTCAATTGTTGAGATAGTTTTTCCATCCTCGCATACGAAAGGGTAAAAATGTCAATAACCTGATGTGGAAATACTTAAAGAAATAGTTGCAGTTTATAGTTAAACTGGCTGTTGGCTAGTTTGTTAGGAAACGACTTAGTTTGTTAGCTGGTTAGTTTACTTGATAATTAGTTATAAGTTGCTGACTTGTGTATAGTATAAATACTAGTGGCCCCCGGTGTAAAAAGGCAAATTTTCCAATTAATAATGAACATTAATTTGATTGGTCAAAGTGATGGCTTGAAGTAAAATGCAGAAAATAATTGGAATAAGATCGTGTTAAGTACAAAGTTATATGGGTCAAATGTTAACTTCATTCATTCGTTGATTTGCTAAGAGAGTCCCTAAAGTAAATGGGCTTCCTATCAACCACCACACCTAACTACTCAAAAAGGATAACCACTTAAGATCTTAACTGATTGACATGAAAATATAAAATACCTTCAATTTCTCGATCACAGTGTTCAAATGCTCATTTTCATTCATCAATTTCTCTATCTCATCAGCCTTTGCCTGCAAGAAATCAGATTTGTTACTTGAGAAGAGAAAGAAGCATACAAGGAAAGGAACATTTCCAAAGACCCCGTCTCAGCTAAGGTGCCCTAGACAATCTGATCTTAATTATCTACTGGTCATTCAAATCTAGTCATTTTTCCAATGGCAAGAATAACCATGTAAAAGGCTTTCGGCTCAAAATCTATCTTTTTTGAGAGCCCAACAACATATAGGGTGGGAGATTTGAATCTCTGGCCTGGTCAAGAGTATCTTTACCAACAAGGTTCAAGGTAAGGTTTGCCACATTAAGTACCTGAGCTTGTCTTACTGCACCCTGCAATGCTGTTTCCTTCTTTTTCATTTCAGCCTTCATCTTCTCTAGTTCATGCATAGAATCTAAATTAGTAGGTGTATTTTCCTCTGAGCTGAAATCTCGCTCTTTAGCTTCTTTCTCACTACCTTGGAGTTGCTGATTCGTTTCGGTTGCTTTAATTGCTAGATCACTTTCATGAGAATCTGAATTAGAAGTGCGCAGAAAAGCCTCATCAAAAAGAGGTGCATTGGACAATTCACTTGCAGAAACTTCACGAGGACCTTCTTTTACCTCAGTGCTACCAGAATGTATGCTAGAAGTATCACTACCACCTTCACCCTGATTATCATCAGAAGACTCGGATACAGTATGAGGAATCGTTTTTAAGACCTCCTTTTCTTCTGTTTTCAATTTATCAGTAGTTTCGACCTCAACCATTGGTTCATTTATCCTATCTGCTAGCGATATCTGTTCATTACATCTGTTATGCACATCAAAAGAACTCAGAGATTGAACCAACAGCTCATTACTTCCTTCATCTTGATATATATCAGTTGCTTCTGACTTGGTATCTAACTCTGGAAGTATGGAAGTTTCCATTTCTGAAAACTCTTTCGGCTGTAAGTTGTGAGTGTAGTCTGAAATTTCTGCAGTGGGTTCAGGACTTTCGACAGACATTCTTGGTGAATCATGATCGGCTTTATCAAGGGATTCTGACACGTCATTATTCTGGACAGAAGACCCAAGAACTTCAATAGGAGGGACTGATGATTCGGACTCTGCTTCTCCTTGACTTTCCTTTTGTACGTCGTCTGGTCTTTCATCATCCTGTTCTGTGGGCACTTCAACTTTTCGAGCACTTGATTCCCTTAAAGACGAAGGAACTGGCTGCTGAGTTTCAATGCCTTCCTTTTTATTCAAATCATATTGAAGCTGTGAAGAGTCCTGTTTCTCTGATGATTCCCCAACTTCTGTGGGAATTAGTGAAGATTGTGATTCACTTGATGACTCGTCTACTAAACTTTCATCAGTTTTATTCTGCCCAATTAATGCCCTGACTGGATCAAAGAGTGTTTTCCCTTCTGTAGCTGATTGCCAGAATCCAGGAGCTACAGGGATGTAAAGAGGCATGAAAAGAAATTGGCATTAAACTGGCATTTTACATTTGTAAAGGCATTGACCAACTCCTGAATCTCAAGAATCATGGATGAACACTATGGCAGTGCAAGAACAACCAGGAAAACATACCCACAGAATAATATTAAATTTTCTTTGTGGCAATTATATTTGTGAACCAACATTTCTAATTTTTCCATTTTGTGCTTGATTCCAAGAAAAATTGTGGCCCCAATTGCACTAGCAGAACAACCGGAAATTGCAAACTGCAGACACTTCCAAATGAAAAACAATATGGAAGGAAAGCATCAATGATTTTATCCAACACTAAGTTCGATAGACAAGGACTCCAGTATATCTTAATTAAGAAATTTTAATCACATTAACCATTTCATAATCATTTGTCTAAGCAGAAAAATGCCTTTTTCTGCATCCTTCGAGCTTTCCTAGAGATCACGTATCATAGAAAAAATGTTCGTTCAAATACCAAATAATAATTGGCAACATAATATAAGAGTGTATACTTACCATCGCTGCTGGGCTCCGACTCCGGCTCCTCTTCAAACCCAAGAGCAGAGTCAAAATTCTTTTCAATATTCTTCACGCTCTCTTGGAGCTTATTTACCGCGCCAGCAAGATCCGGAAAGTTACCCAAAGAAACCTTCCCACTAAACCAAGCCATTTAAGAACAAACGATAGATCTCCAATTCAATCAACTAATGCTAGCGCATAGAGTCCCCAGCTAATGCTGAAAAAGTATAAACGAGATAGAATTCAATTAACTGAGAAAGCTTAGTGACAAATATAATAGTAACTACCAAATCAACCAAAATTAGCTTGAAAATTAGAAATATGATACGGTGGGCGAGGGCTTTCGCCAGTGAGCTTCATTTCCATCGAAGACATTAATCAACATTTTCTTCATTGATGACATAATGCAAGAAACGAAAAATTAATACAAGTAGAGGTGTAAGATCCACGCAGAAATGGATCAGAATAGGCAGTGGGAAATTAGAGGAGGAATAGAAAGAATTAAGTTATGATCCTAATGCAAAACTTATGAGAACCTCGTCATCCACACCGGAAGAGAATCCAATTGGGTATTGATAGGAGCAGTGAATGCCATAATTACATCATGGATTTTCTCTATTGAGCTGCGGACAATGTTGTAGACAATTGTCTTTCAATTCGAAATTTAGAATAGAGAAAGATCGAGACGGTGCGCAGATGAAACGGGGAGTTCAGCGTTGGTTCCGTCGCAGTGAGTAGGTTTGTCATACCGTGGGTTTCGTCATATACAAAGATCTCGTTCAGTGCCACCGCCGTCCGCACGTTTCTTGCCGGAGAAGAGGCTGTCGCCGCCGCGTGGTGGTTTACCGGGATTAACGTTAGAGGGCCGGAAGAGGAAAAAAACGGTGAGAGAGGTGAAAGAGAAATAAATAAGGGAAGGAAAAGAGAGAGAAGAAGAGGGAAAAAAAAAAAAAAAAAAAAAGAAG